GAAAATCCGGGAACATTGAATAGCTAAAGAACTCATAACTATCAAAAATAACAATTCCATGTAGAAAAGACAGCTTGGAACAAATATGAGGAGCTTTTAGTATGTATGGTATTAGAGTTTCATTCAAAGCTTTGGATTCTTTCGGAAAAGCTTCAGTTGAAGTGAAAGATGCAATTCCAAAGATGATAAAAAACAAGTGTTTGTATAAAATCAAATGCGCGGAAAATGAAGTTAGTTATTTGGATGAGAGTTGTAGACGGCTGAAAATTAGGGTTCAGAAACATAAGTTAAATAGCAAATCCCCATCAAAGATCGAAATGGACTTAAACAGTTAAGAAAGCAATAGGCGATATTGATAGATACGAATGAAAGTTGACATAAAAGTAATTTTGATAATGTCCATATTCTAGGAAACGGTCTTCATTCACATAAAGAAGGAATGATTTCAAAAACCCTAAGTATTTTAACTATATCGAATGCAATAAACAAAAGGGAAGCAACATACCAATCTCCTATTTGTCAGATTTATAATGGGCAGTTCAGGATGGTTGAATAGGAACATAAGTAGCTTTCTAAAAGGTAGTTTCAACTGATTCGATAAGTACAGTCAACAAGCTTTCATCTTCATCTATCGCTTGGCATATGCTAGAAGCTAACCATACGATAGACACTAAAACAGCTCTAAAGCCATTAAATAAAAGTATTCAAGGTTGTGTGGTTCAATTTTATCGAAGCTGTAGCCATCTGTAAATTTAAACCCCATTGTATTAATTCTGAACCTACAGGATAGCATTGATTTTAAGTTTCATACCGCATGAATTTATAATGACTGGTTAGAAATAATGAGGCTGAACAACAAGTCAGCTAAGCAACAACTGAAGCAGAATTTGTTATATATGTTTTTGAGGTTGATGAGGATATCATGTCTAAGGTAGTATAATTGAGAGACTGAAATCAGTTAGAGACGTCAGTCCCTGATGAATACTGCCTTAAAAATAAGATCCCCATTAGCCTCAAAAATACATTGCTGTGCTTATAAGGGACATTCTTCGAGATAGATATCTCACTACTCTAACGAGAAGCTCTTATTTGTGGGATTAACCAGTCAGAAATGAAGTGGGTCTTAACTAAAGACCTCGGCTGACAGTCACACAGTTTGGCAAAATGAAAGAAGTAGGGAACTGTAGACCATTGAACTTCAACTCAGTGGTTGAACTGTCAACGAATTCGCCGCGAACCTTGAAGGTGCTCAGTTCGATCCCTGGTGGAGTAGTGGGGGCCTACTGCTGAAGAGTCAGTCTCATACTGGACCGAAGTTGCTGTCCAGCTTTCCTAGGTTTTCGATGGTTTTCTATCTGTCAGTTCGTCATGAATACTACACTATTGTATTTAACATTTTCTGTGTGTATTTTGGTGTTGAATAAAAATCCAAATATTCTACTGAATAAACTGTTGCATAAACACCGAAACGTGCAGAGAAATCCTGTTCCAAGCAAGACTCAGGACTCAAATTCTTCCAGGGTATTCGTAATAACTATGAACTGGATATCTATAAAAGACGCTAGGGTTGTATAATACTGAAGGATGAAGACAGTAGGTTAATAAAGTTTGAATGTGAATACAGTAAGGATGACAAGAATAGAAAGTGAAAAAAACATTTTATAAACCCAAAGGTCAGATTACCGATTAGATATTCCCTGACCAGGGTGAATAAAAAGGCTGCACAAGTTTCTATTCAATACAAAACTTTTGATTGTTCATTCAAATTCCTATTTACTCAGCTATTTGTAAAAGGCGAGTTAAAACTAAATCGAAAAAGTTCGATGGAATACGGTAGATCACTTTCAAAGTGCTAATCTATACTTATCACTAATACGGGGTGATGATTTGACGTGAAATGGAAGTTTCGACAGCGTTAGCATTCGAACCAGAGACGTCTGACGTATAGGCCCGGTGCTCTGCTAAATGAAGTACGATACTACGGTATTGGTCAGTTCTTAATTTTACTTCAGCTACCCAGCATCAATACAAGTCTGCCAGACCGCAGCTATCTCAGATAGTAAAACTGATTGTATTACTGACGGATAGTAGCTAGCAGTGGAATCCAAGACTCGCGTTCCGTTCTGTCTGGGATTTGTCAAAAGGAGTTACCTGCTTCCAAGTGAGTGGTGTCATTCCCAGTAAGACTGAAACTAGGGACCGTTTGCTTCAAACGTCGGAGCGTTATCCGCCAGGTCACTGAGTCATGATCGCTACTTCTTGTGCCACAGGTATGCTTTCAACTTTTTTAACTGTATAACATCCAGTTGACGAGTCCCAAACAGGACGAAATGAGCACCCTTAATGCCACTGCTAGTCATCATCTATCACTAATATAAAATCGAAACAGATAATATTCAGGCATGCGCGCAGGAGCCTATATACTAAAAGAGACCGAACAAATTCGATCCAGTCAACGACAGGATTGTGAATGAGTTGCTATTCATCATGGGTCAACATCAGTTGGAGGACGACTGAAAGCCTGAGAGCACTGAATGGGTGTTTCATCCTCTTGTGGAACTTCTCAGCGATGCACAACTATTATCCTACCAGTAATCGAACCTAGGACATTCAAGTCTCACCACGAGCACGTTATCACTAAGCTCCTGAATCGAATTTCAGTAGTCCGTATTTTCCTACTTCTGTCAGTTCGTGATATAACACGATTTAAACAATCTGATTGGTAACTCATCTGGTAGCAGACTGTCTTGAAAATTCAACCAACATTCGAATTTCTCATAGTTCTTAAATACATTTTTGTGATAATGTCAATAATTTAACAGCTTGTTTCAGTATGTACCAACCAATGTTTTACGAAATTTCTCAGTTCAAACGATAATTAAAACTTTTTATTGTTTAAATATGTTCATTGTAAGTAGCAATTAGTATCCCCTTATTTCTTTCTTCAAAGTCCACTAGACACTGAGCTGAATGTAGTTTGTTGGAACATAAATATAATACCAGATTTCATTAATATTCGGTTAGGAATTAGTGAATAAAAATCTCTAGTCCTGCCAGCTTCAGCATATGTTTGATCGACTAAAAAGATGAACTTAAAGTTCTCATATCCGTAGTCATTGACCTCGATGACCATAATATGTTACTCATGTGACTGATTTTGAATATTAATTAAGTGCACCGATTGCTTTGCAGGCGATGGTTATATAAATCCAACCCATCTGACAACATAATTTCTTTTGGAAAACGAAATTTCCGGAGAACAATTTGTAATCTGCTGGACAATAAATACATGTGACACTGTCAAGTGTTTGAATTGCTTAGATCTAGCTTGCAAGCAGCCATGATGATTATTTATAATGGTTTCTTACTACTCACATCAGTTAGTAATATATATCCTTAGTTTCTTTATCTACTCCAACTTTTATAGTTAAACTATCACTTAATACTACAAAACTACACTTTTTGGAGATGAAAAATATCTCGGTTGAAGTTGCTTCATGGGTGGTTTTTGCTATATTGCTGATGAGAGTATAAGGTTATTACCAAACAGATTTGTTAGACTATTATATGCCGTATTTGGATGTCAAATTATATTTTCAACTAATCAATAAGTTTAATCTAAGGTTATTATTACAGAAGTATTCATCATGGACTGACATCAGATGAGAAACCATTGAAAACTTAGGAGAGCCGGACAGCAATTTCGGTTCAGTATGGGACTGACTCTTCAGCAGTAGGCCCCCACTACTCCACCAGGGATCGAACTGAGCACCTTCAAGGTTCGCGGCGAATTCGTTGACAGTTCAACCACTGAGTTGAAGTTCAATGGTCTACAGTTCCCTACTTCTTTCATTTTGCCAAACAGTGTGACTGTCAACCGAGCTCTTCCGTTGGTATCCACTTCACTACCTACTGGTTTATCCCATAGGTCGAACTTCTCATTAGAGCTTCGAGATGGATATCTGAAATCATGGCATTAATGAAGCAAAAGGCTGCATAGTTGTCATGCATAAATAGACTGAAATGATACGCTCTTTATCAACAAAACGGGAAAGTAGTTTAAGAAAGCCTGAATATTGTACTAGAGTTATCAGTTTCTGTTTTCGGTAGGTTATAGAAGCCTATTTATTGATGCTTTTAATTTCCAGTTGATTATTATACTGGCATGTAGACAATTCTGGATGGATGCCTGAGTACCGCCTCAAGTTTAATTTTGGTACTACTTGCTTGAGGGTGGCTAACAACCGGATCCGGGATGAGCTTTTCATCCTGCATTATAATTAGCAGGAAATTACAAGCATTAGATAATAAATAATAGTATTCGTCGCACAAATGATGGCTTTCGTGACTCAGTAGCTTAGTGGATAGCGCTGTGACGTTTTAAGCAATGATCGCCGGTCTCAAGTTCCAGTGGGAATACAGTCACTCAATAGAATGCAGGCAAATCCAGGTAGTGAGCCTTAATAGGGGGAAAATCGCACTCTGAGTTTGATTGATTGCCATCACCAAGTAGATAATATCCAAAGGGAACCTATCTTAAATAATCATTACTGTCTTCCCTTAGAACCACCATCATTGTGAAAATACTTACCCTCATGATTAATCATCGATCTCATACATGATTTTGTTGTTCTATTAATTGTTATTTTATTCGAAATGTCGCTTCGAAACTGACGTAGAAGAACAATGGATGAGTGAACTGCTCACCTTCTACTCGTAAATTTTCAAGACGTTATAAGTAACAGGCATAGTTTAGTAGCTCTATCATGTTTAAGAGTATTTTTGCCAATTGATTAGGAATGATAACTCCAGGATTGGAACGAAGTCTAAACATCAATCAGATCCCAGTGTCACCATAATATAATCTGCGTGTTAAAAGATATGAACAGTTCTTCAAACTCATAACATGCTGTGTTCTAAAAATCAGAACAAATTTACATTTATCTTGTTACAAATTCAATAAAACGAAACGTTTAAAAAGCAACTCATTACTCACTCACTTTGTAATCATAACAACAATGCTGATTGGAGAATGAAAATGGAATTATTTCTGTTTCTTCTTGTTTAACAGATTTACAACAACTATCAATACAAAAAGTAATAAGGCAACAGGTGGATTTATTTTTTTGTGAAACATTGACATTCTTACTCTTCTTCACCTGACAATCAGAGAATTGAGTACCACTATGACACTGTGTTAAATGTTGCTGTCTCTGCAATTTTTGTATTTGATGAGCACTCATAAAAAGAATTACGATGCTTGTTAACAAGGGTAGCAGAAATGCTACTAATGTGCGTAGAATAAGAAAATTAATATCTGGTGATGTACAGAATCTGCCGTCTTCCAAATATGCAGGTGGAAACGGATCACTTAAAATAATCTGGGCACCAGTTTGCAGTATACTTACTATCCATGGTGCAGCTATTTTCAGTTGTATTGTCAATCCATGTTTACCTGATGCATTTTTGGTGGAGGTAAACCATCTTGGCTTTGTTAGACGAAAATACGTATCCAAACTAGATCCTAAGAGGTGCAATAATATTGCATGGCAAACAGTTGTCTCAGCAGCAATGGATATGCAGCAGAAATTTTCGATGTATTCATTGTCACCTGAAAAAAACAGATCCAGTAAACTATTCATATAAAGAAAGGATGATTAATCTGGCTCACTTTAGACCAAGAAAAGTAACTTTAGGTCTGGGTCATGCATAGTGTTTAGAGCTGATGATAAATAACGGTGTGCCGGGGTGATTCTTCTGACTTTTATACCTAGTACAGGCTGCAATTATCATTCGCTGTTTTGAGGAACTCTCATTTGATTGTTATCGGTCGCTTCAGTTTTGTTTTAAATACTAGAAAGACTTTCACACCAGCCAGTTCAGCGAAGAGGGCGAAAAATTTCCTATGAATTAAGTGATCGCTTTAAGCGTCAATCCAGTGGTAGTATAGGCAATGCATGAACTAAATGACAGTTATCTGTTGCAAATAAGAAGGTTAAAAGCAAAATGAAACAGACTTCTGTCACTATATGGAATGAATTAGCTAATCAACACAATATACTTCTATTCTTTTTTTTGGTTTGAATCCAATTCAACATTTCTACTCATAGTTACCTACTAGTAATCTACCAACTTCATTTTTTGTTTATTTTTACCGACGATGACAACTTAACTGACGTCAAAACGTTTGTATTTAAAAACTCATACCTGAAGAACATCATTTCAGATACACTACTTTTTGAATTAGTCAAGTAGTTATCTACTTTTTGACAACATTAACTCTGTTATGACGCCAGTTTGCGATTGCAAACGAAAATAAAACATCCGGAATTCCAATAACTTTATACAATAAATAATAGTATGGTAGTGACTAGAATGCTTAGAAATATAAGTTGCCTTAATCTGAGGACGTAGTTTGTTCTGTGTAATACGCCATCATTGAGGATCGGTTCTTGTTTATTTATGTATCTCGCACTAACAGTATTCGAAAGTGTTTAGATAGTCTTGTTATCCTGAACACTAGCACTAAACCATTTAGAATCACAACTAGTGCGTTACATGAATGAATGATTTGTCTGTAAAGTTCATGAGACCTAACTGTTCATCACAGTACATAGATGTCGTTACTTCATGGCCCCTAACATAGATAAAGTAAAGTATCTAAATCTATGTCAAAATTAACCCTAACCTGTTCATTAAATCATACTTAATTCTTTCATTTGCCTGAAATCAAGTTCAGTAAAGTTCACTGTTGTGTATCTCAGCTAAGCGAATTCGTTTTCCTAATTCTGTGATAAAAATTTGTTGAGTATCAAACGGTTGGTCATAATATTGGTTTGTATATCATCAGTAATCCTCAAAGTGGTAATTTGCGCACTGTTGAAGAATCTCGCACTACAGCAAAACATCTATCCACTACTCCCAGGTTCTCAGTGGTTCTCCAACTGATTTCAGTGCATGATAACTACCACCTTGAATTCTCACTTTCTGTTTACACCCACAACCACAAAATGACGACTGAAAAATAAATAGTCATAATTTAAAAGTAGATAGAATAGTATTACTGTTTGATGTCAGAAACTACAATGAATCCAGTTTCTTATCACTTCATCAGGCTTTAATTCGTTTATGACCTGTTTATATAGCAGAGATAAAACGAATAGCTCATGGAAGTTATATCAGAATCCTTTTCATCGTTTTTTCCTACGAAAGATAAATTATGTGTATGGAAAAATGAAAGCTTGCAAAATCTCCTGGTCTGCTTGGCCAGATAGTATTGTGACCAAACCGATTACTGTGGTACTGAGAAGACACTTTTCAAGTCTCATCAACAGCAACCATCTCTACATTGCTGCTGGCGTATGTAGGTGATGCGTTGCAAGAAAAGTGAAGTGTAGAAGTAAAGTTTCATCCAAAGTTTCTAAAATTTTCTATGAGTTTTGACTTAAAGTGTACAAAAGAGAGCTTACATCAGAAATTTTGCTACTGCTGAAACAGAACTGTTAAGTGAGTACACTTAGAAAAAAATACTTGCAGATGCTGAACATTCAAGCAGCAAAGTCTCTCCCTTCCATAATCACTAGTGCAAATTCAGATCTCTGAGAGAGCATGAGTTTCTCCAATGTAGCACATATTTTTGGCTGGCGAGTGCTACCAAGCATGAAACCTAACTACAAAGTTTCCAACCCATCGACATTTGGTGTTCTGTCCTGACTTTGAAACGTATGTCTCTTGTCAAATGTTGCATATATCTTGTCAATTAATGTGGCTAACCTTTTCAGGCTTCATTTTAGTTCAATCTCTTAATGTTTTATTCATAAATAAGACTGTTAAGAGCCTTCGATCTAGATCTAGTGAAAACTGGTTTGCAGCCAATCACTACAGTATTATTCTAAGTTGCTAAAAGTGGAAAAATCAAAGTTGTGCTAAATAAACTACTGATTTAGATGAGCGGTCTACAGCTATTCATGACAGTTATCAGTATATTTCACCCATTTTTCATGCTCACAAAATTCATGTCAGTTGTGCTGTCGAGAAGATCGCATTGTGTGATGTCATAAAGTACTAAAATGTTTAGTATAAAAGTGGGTTCTAATTTGTTTTTAAATATTATCACCCTAGATAACCAGGTATCCAAAAGAAAGGTAATTTTAGTGGCTGACCTTTCTACACCAAACTAATCTTATTACATCTCTTATGAAGTTAAGTTCACGTCAGTGGAATGATTTTCCGATGTTTAGATTACGTAAGCTTGACGACAAAGTACTGCTGGTTTTCCCAAATAGTTTTGAACTATTCATCAGTTAGCAGTGTGCTTAATATGCTAAAATTAACACTGACAAATTTGGCAACTAACTTGAATAACAAGAAGTTGTAATGTAATAGGTATTGTATAGACCATCACTCGCCAGGATTCTTCAGGTCCTCTAAGTATAACCTGTTAGAAGCGTGACCTAGAAAACGTCAAGTCTACTGATTTTAGATAACTATGAAATCAGGCATAAAATTACCCAGTGACGTCCTTTATTTTTGCAGAAACGCCAACTCATATTTTCGTCGTGATTCTTAAAGAGCCAATAAACAGAGCACATTATAGAGAGAATTGAGTGATTGAATCTTATAAATTTCAGTTGTAGTCTGCACGATATTGTTTCATAAGTACCACCACCAAATAATCTACATTTTAATATCAGCCATACTATTTTGTAGAACCTATACTTCTGACAGCATAGTGCCAAATCCTCATTGTAAAATGCTCATCTAACCTGTGATATTCAACAGTCAATCCATTTGATGTAAAAACAACCAAATAACTGTTCCGTCACAGAAATCCAGTCGCGAATATTTTCTGGCATTTCGTCTGCTGTTGTCTTTAGTCATTCAAGACAGCTCATATTACTGCGCAATATTTCAAGTTACTAAACCTCGTCCCAGTAAATCAAGGCAGAATACTGAAATGAGGGAAAATAATTTTAGGAGTCGAAGACGCGGAGAGGAACAATGGGAAAAACAGACAATGACAAGTAATATGAACATTATTTTGAAGATAATATATGGAAACATCTGCGCCACTTAAGTGAATTTCAGCCATACCTTATGGAGTCTGAAATCACTAATTTTGATTGTCAGGTGAACTGTAACCAGAAAGGTTATATTTCTGCACTTGCCACTCGCATTAAGCAGTAGCTAGGAGTGCATCACACGTCATAGAAACCTGAATCGACAAAGATTTATCGCCTCTGTCAACCAAGACTCTACTTCTGACTCATATGTTATTACAGTTTATGACAAGCAGATAATGCAGTAAAGGTAGTAGTTGTCTAGCACTTGTGGATCTATAAAATGCTTCACCTCTTATTCTCATGTTTTACAACAATACAGCAATATACGCCAAACTGCTGTCTTTCCATTTTCAAAAGTGGCATAAGCTGACAAAAGCTAATCATGCCTTTTGCATCTATGCCAAGGCTTCGCCAGTCAAAGACCTTCATCATTCTCTATTTTCACACCAGGCACTGCCTAACTCCATACAGTCATTTTCAAAGTCAAAAAGCTTTGCTTTTTATCATTACACGCATTGCACAGTTGCTGAAGTCATTTTTTGCAAACTTGGTCATCTGAAATGTCACTTTACCTAAAACATGTCAAACAATTAGCACTTCAGTACGAGAAGGTAGGTAGGAAGAAAAACAAACGCACAGAAGAAAAAAAATGGTTTTTATAGTGAATGGAAGATATTATTCCTATCCTAATAAGTATTTGTCACAAAGAATAACCTGACAATATGTCAACGCGGTAATATCAACTTATAAGCATAATACCGGAGATGATTGCTTTTCTCTTGAACAAATGCTACCAAAAATCACTTTATATATTTTTCACTGAAGTACAACCCTACAGCTATGTGACGTGAACACAAATGCAGATAATAAATATGAAGATGGTAAATCGTGGTTATCGACATGTCTTATGCTTATATGTATATATATATATATATATATGCAGGGAATTTTATCTTCGTACGCCTACGCTATCGTCAAATCTCTCCAAATACCCGCTAGAATTAATTCTCCTCGTAATGATACACAGCATGACCCTGTTTATTTTTAGAATGCTTAATTTCTTTTCAAAAAAAGTCAGTTTTTAATGCTTGGCAAGAGGGTAGGAATTTCTACACGATTATGAAAGCAATTTGTTGATAATCAGTAGGAATAAACCTCCTGTCTAAATGTGTAAAATTCAAGTGCCAGCTGAAATGAAAGTTTGTTGGCTAAAATAATTATTCATATTTGAAAAAAGTCAGTTTTTCAGCGTTTCGCTAAAATCAACTTCACCATTATCTGAAAGATATTAATAAAAATTTTGATGAATAGAAATTGCGTATCGATTAAAAACACTTAATTCTTATGAATATATGTTTGTATGCATGTATACATGACTAAATAACTCAAAAGTTTGGATTAAAACCTGTTAACTACGCCGGGGGACAATGTAAGTTGTTCATCATTCAATGCTCATGTAGTAACTCAATGAACTGAAAATTCGAGATTCGGTTCCAATAATGTATGTTGTTTAATGACCCTAAACTAGGAAGAAAGACTTACGCATGAT